TTGATGTGACAAATTTTGAAACTGAACTATTCTTATATATTATTATTATTATTATTATTTTGGTACTGGGAATTGAACTCAGGGGCACTTGACCACTGAGTCACATCCCCAGCCCTTTTTTTTGTATTTTATTTAGAGACAGGGTTTCATCGCATTACTAGTGAAAATTGCTTTTTGCTGAGGCTGGCTTTGAACTCATGATTCTCCTGCCTCAGCCTCCCAAGGCACTGGGATTACAGGCGTGCGCCACTGTGCCTGGCTATATATATTCTTATATATAGTATATTATTACAGTGAGGACCATGTACAAGATATGAAGAAGGCTTCATCCAGTCAATTATTCAATAAACATTTAGTGAGTGCCCACTAAGTGAGAGACACTATAACAGATTCTGTAGGCAAAATGATGAGCAAAATCAAACTGGAACTATCCCTATGGGCAGGGGATAGAGATATATCAATGAAATTACTGCAAAATTTTATTTTAGTCAGGGTTTTTGGTTTCATATATAGAAACTGACTCAGGCTAACTTAAACAGAAAAGGAAGACATGGGATAAGAAACAGATCTGGCTTTCAGGAGCTGGATGAGGGAGAGAACTAGGGGACTCACCTCCATTGTTGGCCACTCCTCCCCTGCCCTCTTCTAGGTCCGGTGTTCCTGAGTCCAGAGCTCTTGGATGTGTTTAGATTTCCATTTCTGATTCGGGCGGGCTGATGGATACAGAAGTCCAGGGTCTAGCTGCACCTTATACCAACTTTCAAACATTCCATCAGTTTTCAGCCTCCTTGTCACCTGCCTTCCTAAACACTTGGTTAATTTCTGCAGATTGCCTTGGTGCAATCTGCAGGCTTGACCTTTGCTGTATTCTGCCAAGTCAAGTGCCTCCTGTCTATGCTGGTTTCCACTCCTCTCTCATTGCCCTCATTGAAAGATGAGGGCAAAAACATCTATATGTTGATGTATTTCAGTGTCTTTGAGGCAGCTTCCCTGTACAAGGAGAGCATTCACAGATTGGTTTTATTTATTCAAGTAACTTCAACTATTGAAGTCTAGTTAGTCTTAAGCTTTCAAGTTCAATTAATAAATTTTATTAATCTATTTACAAGACTAGCAACTACAGTAATATGGGAGTCAATTAAATACCTATACCCATTTAAAATTGTATTTGTAAATTTAATGTGTTCATATTTCAAGTTCTTCAACTTTCTGATAAATACTTCCAAGTACCTAAATAATTCTTATAAATTTAAAATATAAATTTAAATATCATGACTGTTATGGTTTGGATCTGGAATATCCCCCAAAAGCTCATGTGTTGAAGGTTTAGTCCCCAACGTCCACACTTTCCAGATGTGAGAATTTGGGGAACTGATTAGATCATAAGCTGTTGAGAGCCACAGCCAAAGGGGCCCCAGCAAACTTCTAGCTGCCAGCAAACTTCCAGCTGCCAGCAAATTTCCAGCTGCCGGCTGACAATTGGCTCACAGTGGCCCCAGCAACATCTAGCTGATTGGCTCCTCTGCGGTGATGTTCATTGGGCTGTTTCCCTGCCCTTCAGACTGCCAGCTGATGATTGGCTCACAGCGGCCCCAGCAACATCTAGCTGATTGGCTCCTCCACGGAGCTGCTCATTGGGGGACTTCTTTGGCTCTGCCCACGCAACCCAGCTAATCGGCCTCAAGAGCAGGAGGATTGTGGGAGGTTGAGAGGCTGGTGTGGGGGAGAGAGGCTTGTGGAAGCCAGTGGTGGCAGTTGGGCTCTGAGGGTTTTTTCCCTGAGGAGCTGTTTTGTTTGGCGTTTGTAGTTCTAAAAATAAAGTTAGTTTCTTTTGACAAGTGGCTCCTGAATTGTGCCCAGCCAGACTGCGGCAATAAGCGTTGTAACATCCTCAGTGGATTAATTCATTGATGGTTTCACAAGTTGATGACATTATGGGCGGTGGTGGAAATTATAGGAGGTAGGGCCTAATTGGAGGAAATAGGTCACTGGGAGTGTGCCCTGGAAGGGTATTTCTTGTCATCTGCCCCTTTACCTCCCCCCCCCTCCCCCGGGCTTTCTGGCCACACGAAGTACTTAAATACAGAATGTACATAGTGTATATATATATATATATATACACACACACATATATACACACACACACACATATATACATATTATTTGTGTGTGTTTGATTTATTGAAGTATATCAAACCTATCAAAGACTCCTAATAATACTATTGTCCAGTTGGGTTTGAGAATACAACACCAATGTACACTATATCCATATTTATATCTGTATATCTATATCTAAGTCTCAGATTATTATCTGGAGTGGGGGACAGTCTTGTGGGACTGAGCCTTAATTCATAGGAGAGAGGAAGAAAAGAGAGATCAGGGTAATCAGTCTCTGTAGTACTCCTGTAAGTGTAAGGGACCGGCGAAACGTCGGAGGAAGAGACCACAAGAGACTGGCTTCATGCAATAAGCAGAAGGGGATTTTTATTAAGGATCCCGATTCAGCACACTGAGACTCTAGGCTCACTCAAGAAGCGAGAGCAGCCCAGAGCCCAGAGCAGGGGTTGAACAATGCTTAAGTACACTTTTTGGGGAGGACAGGGACTTTACATACATCACAGTCTCCTTTAACAAATCACCATACATCGCGGGAAAATCAAACAATTCTTAGTCTTGATTAGTACATTCATTGGTGGGAACAGGGCTGGCTGGAGTGATAGGTCTTTCCTAAGGAGGGGGTTACATTTAAACTGATTGGTTTGGGCCTTGAATGTCTACGTGACAAGCAGCACAGGGTCTTGAATGCTTACGTGAGGAGTTACACAGGATCCCAGGCCATAAATCAACTTAAACGGCCAGTAGGGCCTTGTCTTAACTGCCTCAGGAATTTAACCCATGCTTTGCAGTTTAGAAACTTTACCCTTTCATAAGGTCACCTCATGCCAGCTATGTTATTCATCTGAAGATTACTGCTTCTCTCAAGAAGTCTAGCAACTAGTGCCCCTCTCTCTGTAGGCCTGGGTAGTATAACTAAGTGGGGGTTAACCACTACCACTTGTGATTCCCATGTATATCACTCATATCTCTGTGAAGAATCTCTCCTGGAATTATTCCAGCTTGAGTGTGTCATCTGTTTTCTGCTGGGACCCTAAGACACACCAACTTCAAGTTAGAAATCGTTACTGTTTATTTTTAACTAAACTTATTTTTTCTTTTTCTTGGTACTGGGAATTGAATCCAGAGGTGCTTTACCACTGAACTACATCCCCAGCCCTTTTTGTTTTGAGACAGGGTCTCACTAGGTTGCTTAGAGCCTTGCTTAGTTGTTGAGGTTGGTCTTGAACTTGCCTCAGCCTTCCTAGCTGCTGGGATTATAGGCATGAGCTGCTGCACCCAGATATTTTTTTATTTTTAATTACATTTGTTATATTATTGCTGATAGTCAAAAGAGAAAGATTTTATTTGAATGCCTTAAAATAAGATATCTCCTTAGGGTAGATGTTCATAAAAGTTTGTTATTCAAATTTTTATTAAGCACCTAAACGTACAATTTTAGCTAGCATGGAGTGCTTACTGCATGCCAAGTATCTTGCTAAGCATTTTGCGTACTTTCTGTTTTTTGATTCATTTAACAATACTATGGAGTAGAGAACATCATTATTATCCACCTTTCACAAAGAAAAAACTGAGACTCAAAAAAATTAAATAAATAAATTGCCCAAAACAATATAGATAAGAAGTGGGGAATCAAGATTAAAATTAGGCAGATGGAGCCTCAGAATTCATTTGATAACCTCTATACTGCCTCCCTAACATTAGCTGAGCTCATAGGAGTTATTCCGATGAGAAGTAAGATGGTCCTATATATAGTAAGGATAGAGAAGATATAAATGTAAGTCCCATTTGGAGTGTTCCTAATACAGCTTTTGAAATGAAAGTAAATTATAAATTGTGATCTGAATTATAGTTAATAATGTGGAAGAACTTACATTTTCACCAGTAGTAATCTTTTTAAAATTTTGTATTAGTTATTGTTGAACCTTTATTTATTTATTTGTTTATATGTGATGCTGAGAATCTAACCCAGTGCCTCACACAGGCTAGGCAATTACTCTACCACTGAGCCACAGCCTCAGCTCTTTCCAGTGGTAATCTTTTAATTTTTTAATTTTTATTTGGTACTGGGGATTGAACCCAAAGATGCTCCACTGAGCTCAGTTTATTTATTTATTTATTTTAAATTTTGAGACATGGTGTTATTAAATTGCCTGCCTCAGCCTCGCGAGTCTCTGGAATTACAGGTGCCCACAGTACTAATTCATATTCT